TATTGTCGATCTACTTAGGTAATGGACGACGCTGAGGACCCTGCCGACGAAATTGATATTACGATAAGAGGTTAGGAAAAAACACGTGTAGAAGGCGTGCACGCGTCCGATTGCCTCCTGGTTTTGCTTCTTATAGTAGTATGTATGTATGTGTAGTAGTCGTCGTCGCGGACCCCTCATCGTGATTATCGACTACATTATTAAGTCGGTATATTTCCGTGGCTGATGCTATCGATCTCCCTCGAGTAGTATCTGTCGGGCGACGTGTGCGCTTTCTGGAAGCCAACCCACACCCCCTTCGAAGCCATTCGCCCCGGAACGAGCGGCTAAAGGCGGACACGCAGCGCTAAGCGACAGCCACTAACCGATTTACGATCGCGCAAGCGCGCTCACGAATCGTGTGATACGATGCACTTTGCCGGAACACTGGCTGGATCGAAAACCCCCCGCCTACCTTTCCTCCGTCCAGTCTCGGACGTGACTCTTCCTTTCTCGTCGTGCTTACCAACTTACCTCTGTTCCAAAGCGACCAGGGATTACCACTTTTGACTTACGCTCACGATCTGACCACTCTGCCCGCGTTGTTTATGAATCTCCACGCTGTTAATTTAGGGCAAGGATTTCACCCGTTGAAGCGTTTGATTTAGAGGATTTTATAGTTGGCGGTGAGAGATTGGCTTTTGTAGATGGGAAAGTTGGGTTGTTTAAATGGTAGGTTAGTAGGTGGGTCAGTAGGTCCCAGTGTTGTGGGGAAGAGTTTGAAGCGATGGGAGATCTGGGGATCTTAGGCTCTATGGTGCAAGTGTGTTTGAATCAGTCTGGGACATCATCGATATGTGGAGATTTCAAGTTCTTCAACTTAGGAATTCTGGGACTTATGTGTAATCTTGATTTTCTGAGTCCCAGGGTTCTAGCACCCATCTCGGTAGTCTCCCATATTGAGAAACCTCGATTTTCCTTATTCCGGAGCTGTAGGGCCTTCTTTTACATTTCCTGACTTTGGGGGACTTCAACTTCCCTGTCCCGGATTTCACAGGACCCAGACCCAGACGATTTCGGGGCCTGAGAACTTCGATTGCCTAGCCTCAGGGTCGCAGAACTAGTTTTGAATCACCTTGAGGTCCTGGAACCTCGACAATGTTAGGCCCAGAATCGGGGACTCAGCCACGTGCTACCTTGGGGACTCACTCCATCCAGAGATTTGGATGTGGGCTGAGGTTTCAGAACACTGAGCCTGAGATAGCCTAGGTTCCACGTCCATAGGATGGACTAAAAGTACTTTTGGGACTCTGAAGCTGGGCCAGTTGGGGTTCCGGCACTTGGAATGGTCTGAGGGTACTTTTGGGACTCCGAAGCTAGACTAGTCGAGTTTCTTGGTTTCTAGGATGACCCGAGGATTGGGCCCATCGAAGTTTCTGGGTCCTGGAATAGCCTAAGGCTACTTTCAGGCACCCGGAGCTGGACTTTTTGAGATTCCTGATTTCTGGGGTAACCTGAGTTGAGCCATTTTTCCAGGGCTAGGGCAATTGGGGTTCTTGGACATTAGGATGGTTCCTGGTTGGTTTTGTGATCTCGTGACTGGGATGGTTGATGTCCCTGGACTTCAGGGTGGTCTGAGGCTGAGTCAACGACCCTGCGGCTCGGGAGTTTAAGGTCCTTGGCTTCAGGACATCGGAGATTGGTGTTCTTGGTCCATGGGACTAGGAAATTGAGGTCTCTGTTTCTCGGGAGAGGGGAGATTGAAGCCTTTGGACCTCGTGAGGGGTTCGAAGTTGATTCTATAACCCTGGAGCCAGAGAAATCGTAGTCCATCGATCTCGATGAAGACTTTTGTGTATCCTATGACCACGGTAGTATGGCAGTCGGGAATCAAGGTCTCAGGATCTTCAGGTCCCAAATGGGTCCAATACTTGCTTCATATATCGAATAAGAAATGATGTTACTGCTAAATCTTCTTAACTAAACCGTAAGAAGTTCTGAAAGTAAAGTTTAGTAACTCAAAATCTTACTAAACCATAATCAACTTCCAAGTTTTATCAAAGTCTCCATTTACTTCCTATCATTTTTTCCATAAAATTTCCTACAATGTGAAAAATACACTCGTCCTTTATAAATATCCCACATTAACACCAATCTCGATATACCGTGTACTGTCTATTATTATCCTTTAAAATACTCCACTTAGTCACGATCGCAACCTGAACCACAAATAATTCCCGAAGAAAATTATCAACGTTGCCAAGCGGCAATTTTCAAAGGGAGGCGCCACAACTGAACCGCACGGAAACGTAATCTTTTATACGTCGCGTCGTCGTAAATTAATTATGTAACAGGTATAAATAGGAGAATTTGCATATCTGTGTGGCCCGCTCGTCTCTGTCAGCCCCCATTCCTCCTGCCTTCTGCTCGAACATTTTTACGAGCGTGCTATAACGCGCCACGGAATCATCGCGTCTGCGGGTAATGCGTCCCAGAACGGGTGGCTGGTACCCAAGTGACTTCAAGCTACTAACCAATTTACGATCAGGACGTCCGTGCCCACGAATTGTATGTAGTTAACCCAATTGGAAGGCGTTCGAGTTTCCCAAGCGAATCTTCGCGCAAGCTTCTAACGTTTTCGCGAGAATGTCTTCTCACTTTCCGTCTGCTTATACTTTGTAAATTAACGACGTCCGCGTCCATCCGTGTTTCTCGGAGCGAACGAGAAGGAAAAAGACGACGGTATACAGGTATACGTATCGGGCGACAAATTCAACCGACTTTCTCGTAGACATCACCGACGAAACCTTAGCTCACGATCGATCGATCGTGCACACAGCAGAGAAACACAGGGAAACTTTATTCGGTCGTTGGCGACGTCGATAATCAATTTGAACCCTCAACCGGTAGGGTGAAATGCTTGTTACATAACTAGCGGGCTGAAGTTAATTTGCCCTCGATCACAAAGCGCCGCGGAATACACGCGCTTTATCTGGCTAAATACGCGACTGCAGCTTCACGCGGATTAAGCTGTTATAAAAGCGTCGATTGCGGAGCTGATATGAAAAATTCATTATAAATAACGAATTATTATTTTTCATGATTATTAATTTTTTTTCAAACTTAAACCCTTTCGCTTATGATCTATTCTGCTGAACTACATCTAACCGTCAGTTATTTAGCGTTTTAGTAATGTATTATAGATTGATTAAATTTGGTAATTTTCAGTTTTATAAGTTGAAACGAAAGTTAGAATTTTGAATTGATTTTCATTACCGATATACCCATTTTTGTCACATCTCGACCAGAATTAGGAGGGCAAGGGTTTAACCACTCGTGCTCGTGTCTCACACGTGCACAATTATTTATAATTGTAATTATTTTCTCTCATTTTCTATATTGCCTTATCCTTTCTATTACAACAAAAACTGCGAGTTAGAGGATCATAAATAATGGAAAACTTATTTCTATACACCTAGGAAATAAAAAGAAAAATTGATCATTTGTGGCACATGAAGTTGAGAAAAACGTGAACGTTAAAGGCTTAACATGCTGCTCCACACAAATTTTTTAACCCATGTGTCATTTTTATTAATGTCCCGAACTTAATGAAACTACTTATTTAAAAAAAAAAAACGAAAGAAACCGTAGCAAACGTGGACTGTTGTTTTTAGACTATCCTCACTAATAATTCCTGTCCCGTTTCATTTACAATTTGCTCGCACTTTTTCTTATTGCTCGGTACAATTTTCTAAATGGACCAATGATATATTGTAAGAACAATACCCCGGCCTTTTTCAATTCGACTCGACCAGCGGGGAATTAACATTTTAAAGTCGACGATGAAAGTGCCTTTTCTACCTCGAACGTTAGGTCAGTTTGAACCTTGGACGCGCGCGCGATTGAAACGGCACACGAGCTACCCGGTTCTTTCCCTCTCTTTCTCGCCGAGGCGCGAGCGCGAGGGACAAAAGTGGTCGGTTGATCCGGCTGGTTCACGGGAGAACGTTGTAATGATCCTTTCTTCTGTACGCCGGCTCGCAACAGCGGAGAAAGGAGTGAAAGGGAACAGGAAGGGAAACAGTGGTACGGCGGTTCTCGTTTCGCCGAGATTTACGAGAAGCCTGTTGTATTTATTAAAAGTTTTGTACCGACCGGGTTCCCGTGCTTCTCGTGAAAACTCTAGGGCGTCTGAAACGATATTGTAAAGAAACGGAAGTTAAGTATCGTTAATGAAAGAAACGACAGCCGGAGCCGGCATGGAATTCCTGTGCCGCGAATCTTTCGCCGCTATTCCAATCACGACCGTCGAACATCCGTGAAATTTATCGTGTGTTGTGATCAGTTTACTGGTAGAAATAAGAAATTGACGGAATTTAGAAGAATTAGTATTTCTTCGTTATTTCAGATTTAAATGGAACGAATCAACTTGTTTTAGGAAATTTCTAGTGATTATCATACGTGAAATTACAGTAGGATTGTTGAAAATTTTTAGAAAAGCGACGTGTAGTTAAGTTTTTTTACTTATACGAATTATGGTTTATTTTTTGAAGATGTTTAGATTTGATTTAACCCTTTCGTGACAAGTGGGACGTATTGTTTCATTTGAGTAGTTGAACAAAAATTGATCTGAATTTAGTGTCCATTACAGATAAAATGATCGATAGATAAATGAGAAATTCATGAAGAAAATTATTCGATCACGAAAGGGTTAATGAAACTTGTCCAGTATAATTAAAATTAACCCCTTGCGGACGGAGGACGGTGGGTTACTTGTGCAACACATAACTAGGTTATTACTTGAATTTTTTTCGACTAAATAGATGAGTACACTAACTACTTTTATTGCTTGAAAATAAAAGCAGGTTTAATACTATTTTTTAGCCTTTAACCTCAAAGGGTTAATTTATGTCGAAATAATGAGAATGTGTCAAAGAATCGTGTCTTCATTACTACGTATTATAAAAAAAAAATGTTAAAAGAAATGCAGTATATAACACTTTTCTGTTTTTCTGTTGCAGTACTACGAAATGTCTTACGGGCTGAACGTGGAGATGCACAAGCAGGTAAGCGTGCTCTTAACTCCGTCGAAACAATTTCTTTCCGCGCTTATCATTCATATTCATGCGCCTAAAAGGGAGGGTCTTTATCTTCCGGCTGAAAGGTAGCCAAAAACGTACGCAGAAGTTGTACGAGTCTCCCCCTTTCAACTAAAATTTCCCTGACGCGCGAGCAAGAGAGAGAGAGAGAGAGAGAGCGAAGGAAGGAAGGAAAGACATTAAGCCGTAGCCGCCATCGCTTTAAGAATGTCGGCCTGATTTCTATCGCGTTCCCGAGCAAGCAGTCAGTGTGGTGGTAGACTTTAAGGATCAAAAGATTTCTCGTTAATTAAGTTCGGAATATGTCGGTCGATCCGGACTCGGTGTCTAACGGCCGCCATCGTAGTTACGGCCCGCAAAAACGAAGGGGGTGATGGCGCATCTGGCCCGAGAAATCGTGTAATTTCGGCTAATTAGGGGAAACACTGGGCCACATTCCCCTTTCTGTCAGCAATTTTCTTAAAAGCGACCGCGACCCCTCGTTGCACGCAACCCGCCTATCCGACTCTTCCTCCCTAAAGGTTAAAACCTCTCGTTGATAGTAGAGAGGGGAGTGAGAGTGAGAGAGAGTCCTAACCTCCGAAACAACCCTCCCTGACACGACGAGCTGATATTCATTAGCATTAGCGGCCGATCATTTCTCACCCTTGTACCCAGGGGCGTTGCTTAATGGGGTGCAAGCCTGGGGACAGAGTAGGGATTAGGCCGGTCCACCATTAAATCGCCGCGAAATTGCGTCCGGTGGCTCAAGTGGCAAACTAGTTAGCTTAGGATGCTTTATAGGCAGCGTTGTTATTGCCGTGTACGATTCGCGATTCGAATTGATACGTCGACCCTTAGAACGGTGTATACTGTTTAATTGACTCGTTCGCGATTATGATTAACTTAGATGATTGCTCGGTGATTGTATCTCATCGTTCAAGTGTTTTTTCAAATTTCTTTTACGTTTCCCTATTGTTACAATAGGGAACATATGGTAAGAAACGAAGCAGTGTTAAATTTTAACGGATAGTTTAACGTTACAAGTGATTCGTTTACGTCGACTATATATTGGTAATAGGAATTACGTTAGTTTTCAGTTACGTTGATATGCTTCCCTCGTACACCGTACGTATAACCGTATTAGAAGGACGTTAACACGGTAAAAATCACACGATCAAGAAGTTAACAAGCTCGTTACTCGACTTAGTTTCAGTCTCTGTGTGTTAACCTTCGTTCGAACGCCTGGAAACGATATACTGTTTTGTGTCGAGGGAAATGAGAATAAGTGGTTACTCGATACTCAGCCGTATAATTGCTAATGGACGCATAGGAGGGCAATAAAAGTAAGAGTAGGAAACGGAAAATCGCCGGTCGGCAGGAAATCAATCCCCTTCGGGCGTAGAGCGGCGACGACAAATTGCAGTATGAGCCACACGGTGTAACACGGCCTTCTAACGCTAATTAGAGGAGAAATGAGAAGTTATTGGTTCTTGGCGATTGGTTAATTAGCCGTGATAACGTTCACCTCGCGTGCTTATGGACGATTTCACGTCCACGATTTTTTTTCGAATAGATTGTTTTTTTCTTTTTACGTATATTTCAACCGTGGACGCTCGAGGATCATGTGAAAGTTATCGAAACCGAACCGATCGATTTATCGGTACACACCCGTGAAGGTTCAAAATTTTCACGTGTCTTATCATCACGTTTTGGTCAGAACGAAACGAGAAAAATTGCATTGGATTTGATGGATTAAAAACGTTCCTGCAAAATTTTCCTAATTACCTTTTAATCCAATTAAACATAGTACACTTTTGTTAATAAGTCACTTCACTTGCACATCCTTCTCACTACCCTCGTCATTCTCCTTAATCCCCACCCCCTAAGATACCTGTAATCTCCAGTCGACGAATTAAGACGCGTTCGAAAAAATTGATTACATTGCCACTTGTGCGAATCTGAAGTTTTCCGTCTCCGCGCTTTCCCTCTCCCTCTGTTTCCTCGTTTTAGTATAAAAGGAAGTTAGGTAGGTGGTATGGGGTGGGTCTGAAGTGAGAGAGAGAGAGAGAGAGATCTCTCCTCTTTCTCTCGAAAGAGAGAATAAATCACCCTCCGTTTGGTTGTCTTCGGCACTTAGCCGGCTTTCGAATCGCGGTCTTCGGTCCTCGCTCCTTTTCAATTTGAGCACCGAATGAAAACAATCTTCCCCTACGAGGTTAGACCTCCTTCTCTCTCTCTCTCTCTCTCTCTCTCTCTCTCCACCCACCTTTTCTCTTTTTCCCTCGTTTTCTCTCTGACAACCTTCCCCTTTCGTTTTTACCCTTTTTAGTCGGCACCGTTGACGAGTCTCTCTGATTTCATCCTTTTCGTTCTCTCACTCTCTTTCCCATTAGTCCTCTGTCTTTGCTTCCACTCGTACCCTCCTGTTCTCCACCCTCTTTCCTGTCCTCTCTAACTTCCCCTCCTCCTCTTCCTGCTGCTGTTCCTCGTTCCTCTTACCGCCACCCCAAGTCGACATTTGCCTCCCACTCTACCGTTCGAACCCGCAGCCACCACTTTACCACTCGCTACTCGACTAATCAAATAATTGTACGACGCAGCCTATAGACACGTGACGGCCAACCTCGAATGCGGTCACGTGTGTACACGCGGATGCCTCTGATCGAGGATCTGATTCTGGATACTGGCCACGATTTTCTATTCGAGATACCGCCGCCACGAGGAAACGATCGTTCGATAGGACGATATCAGACTGTTCTCTTTTTTCCTTTTTCATTTTTTATGCGATCATTTGTGTGTATCTATCGATAGGTTCGAGGCTATAAATAGGCTTGCCGCTGCAAATCGGAGGAGGTACGAAGGAGAGTTTGTGATTATTTGTGTAATGGTATTTTTAGACACGTTGTTACTTCCGGTTGTATTTCAAATTGACTCGGTGTAGTTTGAAATTCCGCGAGGAGTTTAGGCAATACGTTCATTTTGTTGATTTACGAGCGGCTGAAAGTCTGCCAGATTTGCCGCCGCGTGCAAATCTGACCATGTCAAATTACGGAGCTGTGAATGAGCGATAATCTGGGTTAGATCAAACTTAATTCCTTCGATGACTGCGCCACCCGCGTTCTTGGTTTGAGTAGAGCCGATCTGAATTATTCTCAACGTGTGTAATTTTTATCGCGTAAATATGTACAATTCAGAATTAGGTGGGATGATTTAGGACGATGTGGTGCGCCAGTAGCGTAAACTTACCGCGTTGTGTGTTTAACAAATATTGTCCAAGTGTGCGTGTCGCTGGCGAGTAGAAATTCAGAAACTCGTAAATTTCCACTTGAAAACCAGAAGAATGATCATTTTTTCGGGACTCTATTCTCGAACGCAACTTATCCGAAGATAACCATCTCTGACACAGTTTCCGCAGCAACGACGTTACCAATAATCCCTCTTACATTGCAACTTCAACTACCGCCGGTGGTCGAACGACGAGAAAAAAGGAAGGCAGCTCGATGAAAAATCCCTTGCACGAGACAGAGAAACGAGTTTACGCCCGGTAGGCGAAGGTAGAAAGTTTTACTAGCACAACGCGAGCTTCGGTGGTTCCCCTCGCAGGTGGAGCAGCGCGAAGTTAAAAGTTGCTGCAGTCGCGCCTCTGAGAACGCCACTCGTTTTACACACACACACAGAGAAAGATAGAGAAAGACGAGACGTGCACCATCGAAACATGCATTCTTACATTCCACTTTTAATCGTTTGCTTGTTCTCTCTCTTTTTCCATCTTTCATCTGAATTTTCATCGATTGTTTTGACTTTCAAGCGTGCTTCAAATGTGGGCGCCGCGCGTTGCTGCGCGTGATCGTGATTTCCATGGAAAATGAGATTTTCCGAATGGCGATAAAAAAAAATAGAGAGAGAGAGAGGGGGAAGAAAGGGGAATTGTAAAAAGCGCAGTCGACTGTGAAAAAGAAAAATATGAAAGGAAGCAACGGCTAGGATAAACTGGCTCGCGTTAAAGGGGTGTACGGGGATTGAGATTTAGAAATGGCGGTAAGAGGAGGGGAGGAGGAAGGGACGGGGGTTGAAAAAGAATGCACAAGCGACGAGACTGGCACGCAACTCTCTCTTGCTTCGTTCATCCAGCGAACTCGCGTAGGGTGGTTCGCAGCGTACCTATCCGATAACGCTTATCGCTTAATTGAAAGGCTCGTCCTCGGGACTGGCTGCGCGGCTCGTTGTCCTGCTCAATTAAGCCACGATCTATGGCAATATGCCGCGAATCCGTCACGCCCGCGCGGACCTTCTATGGCTATGCAGAGCATCGCGTGGCGTAATTCTATCTTCGACATTGTGGATTACATGCATTCGACGGTTTACTGAAGATTCTGTGGTAGAATAGCCACGTACATTTGATCCCCGAGATTGTTTTATTGCTGTGTTTATACCGTGTGTGCGGTTCCGCTTATAATCGAGAATTATCTCGTCTATTTGTTTGTATTAACCGTTCGAGTGCCAAAGAGCGCGGTCGCGCTCCTCATATTCGACATCGAAAAGTGTCACCGCATCGGGCCACGAAGTGTAAATTTTATTCTATTTTTTTATAAAAAATTGCACATAAATCCTGCACATAATCAATTTTGCCTTTGTTCCGTGTTATTTCCAAATAGTCCGTATTGAGGAAAATGTCCAAAACAAAATTTTTGTAATTTTTCGACATCAAATGAAAGAAGAGCGATCGCGCCGCTTGGCACTTTTGGATTGGGAAACAACAAAGACCCGTGGCATTCAAACGGTTCAACGGTGAAGTATTAAGTGTACAAGTAATCTGCTATCTCTACGAGTAGTAGAACTGTGAACATTCGAGAGTTGAACACTTGCTACAGATGATACGTTACCTACGATTGTTAATACGATTCTAATATTTACATCGAGTATTCCCGAGTATAATTTTCTCATTTTTGTTTTTGTCACGATGTAAAATTGAGAGCAAGTAAAGAGAAATCATTTTTATTCGTATCGAGCACGTTACATATGTGCTCTTCTGGTGGCATCGAAAGGACTAAAATCACCCGATTTACCCGTAACCAATCGTCCATCCTGAAGAAAACGTTCAACGTCCCGCCGCTTTAAGTAGGGTCACCGATCTTGGGGGAATCCAACGAAAGGGCGGTAGGAGGGGAGGGGTTCGAAAACGTAGGATCGCCCCTTCGAGAAGAATATTCGTATCGCCATCGGCGTTCGTCGATACAAGAGTAACTACCATTTCCCATCGCGGGTGCGCCCGGCGCCCGATAAAAAATGTGCAGGCTGACCAATTGCATATAACTCACCCTGCCTTTCCAGTTCTTCCTGCCTCCATGTATACATACCTCTATCTATCCGCGCACCGGTTCTCTCTCTCTTTCTATCTTCCTCCAACTCCCTTTCCACCCGTTCTCACGTTCTCTCTCCCTTTCGGTAGTCAGGGATCGCTTTTCCAGCACTCTCCTGTCCATATACACATATTCCGTGATGCGCGCGCGTACACACACGTTTTCCACAGGGTAACACACATACACACGCATAAGAGAGAGATGACGCGCGCGCGCGTGTGTGTGATGCACGGTTACACGTACGACGTGGCGGACCCACGTACACGCACGCGTTCCAGGGGTCGTGTATTCGAGTTCTTTTATTTGGCCCTGCGGGGGTAGCAGAGGGTTGAGTTGAGCGAGCGAAACGAGGGTGCGGTGGGCTGGGGGCGATGACATCGATTTTTTACCCGTTGCTAATCTCAATGTTACCTCCTCCTCCTACTCTACCTCCTCTTCCTCTTCCTCTTCCTCCTGCCGTTCGGCCACCTCCATCTCTACCCTTTTTCACCCCTGCCACTGCTACCACCACCACCTCCTCCTTCTCCTCCTCCACCTCCTCCTCCTCTTCCATATCCTCGTCGACCCTCTTCGTTCTTCCCCTTCTCTTCTATATCTCTCCCCCTGGTTCCACCACCTCCACCCTCGGACCATCCGTTCTGCGGGAAAATGTGCATGTGCATCGGGCACATTCGAGAAGGAATAACCATTTTTTCCTACCGGACAACACTTGCGCCGCGTCGCCCCCGCCGCGCAAATTCTCCTCTCGTCTCCCGTTCACGTTCTCGTCCTTTCCCTCTTCTCTATGTATATACCGTTCTATCGTTCTCTTGCACGCGTTTTCTCTATCTTCGTCACGTTTCCTATCTTTCTCTCTCTCTCTCTCTGCTATGTTCTGTTGGCGGTCTATCTTTGTCTGATTCTCTATCGTTGGACCGTCGAGCGCTCTTTGTCGGTTTTTTCGTCGAGGTATGTTTTTTTTCTTTCTCTCTTCCTTTTTTTCGTTTTTTATTTTCGTTGCACACCACCCTTCTTCTCCGCCACCTCCTCCCGACTCGGACCGGGGCGAAATCGAACTGACGTGGACGCGGCAGTTTTCCATCTTTCTGTCCCCCGTGGGAATAATGACATTTTTTTCGGTTCGAAGCTTTAGATGCGCGCCGCGCCGCGTCGCGTCCCTGCGACGGCTCGATGCAGAAAAACCACCCTCGAATATTACGGCTCGTCGCTCCACGGGTAAACCGGAGATCGCCGGGATCCAGGCGATTCTCGATAAGATTTCAACGCAGCTGTTTAGCCCTACCATGATTTCCACGGACGTTCCGGAGGGGGGATGATTATGTATGATGCGATGAACGCGATAAACGTGAATTGTGTTTCCATAAAAATTTCATCGAGAGCAATTAGCTCGATGTGATTGCCGTTTGAAAAAATGGTAGAATTCAGGCTACTGCGTGACGTCGGGATAATTATTGAAACTTAGATTTTCAAATATTTAATTTTCAAATTTTCAAATTTGTAAAATTTCCTTCAGTTGCCAGTAATTGCACTCTCTATCGTAATTCTAATTGTACATTTGTTTGGTAATTTTGCAAGTCGTTAGATGTAAATCACCGGTGATAATATTTCAAAATTGAGAAATTAATCCTAACAGCAAGGGTAAAGGATTGAATTCCGTATATTTTCTCTGAATTCGCACATTAACGAGAACAAATCGAAGTGTTAAAACACCGATTGCAGGAGGGATGATAAGCGAGAAACGCAATATAAAAGACGAATAATGTATCGCAGATGAAGCACCATTGTGCAAATAGAGTATTAATTTGTGCGCGGGTGGTGTTGTTAGTAAGCTTCGATGCAATTAGGCCGTTATATTGGCGCTTTGCAATAGATACTCCGATTGTGTGTCGATCTCCGTAATGTTGATTACTGTACATATTTGATCGCATTCGTTGAATTATTGAAACTAATCTGTCGCAATCGCGTAATAGACGCACACGCTAGTTGTTGCTGTTCTTGTTTGCCAGTCGTGACTGGGTATAGGTACGTCAACTGTTTGCGGTTCCGTAGGCCTTTTTGGTTCCCGTTGGCCTTTTTGGTTCCCGTTCAACTCTCCAAATGGGTCCTGAGAAAATCTTCGTTTCTTAAACGACAAAAAAAAAAAAAAAAGAAACAATTCGCTCGTCGCTCAAAAATCTCTTCACTTTGTAACCCTTTCCGTCTTCATCTTGAAAATCTCTTCACTTTTACCTTAGTTTAATATTCAATTTTATCCTTCACCCACTTTCATCTTAATTCAACAAACCTAATTTTAAAACGATACGGTGAAAACAGCAAATTTTGCAGCCGTGGTTAAAAATCTATCGTCTGTCACACACGTTACGTATTAAAACCTGCCGCAGCGAAAGGGTTAAGAAAATTGCGTTCAATCCTAGCGTTGCATTTATCTCAGGAATAATATGAATATGTCACGCGTTATTTATTTAATCCCACATTTCATACTTCACAAATATTTTCACCTTTCCAATCAACGAAACGGACCCTTCTGAAATCGAAAATGTCACATTAAGATATCACGTTCGTCTCGATTGTTACCTAATGCAAACCCAAGCAACCTCAGAACTTCTCACCACTCACCTAACCACTGGACCGCTCGATCAACGAATGATCAGAAGTCTGACATTCCGCGTTACACGATCCAACACATACTTTCAATCCACACACAAACGGGAGCGCACACCTCGAGCTAAAGCCCACTTGAAACTTCCGCTCGACAATCGGAAACATCTAGGACACACAAAGTAAGAGAGCAATCCTCCCCCGTGTACAGTTGTCGAAAATGAGCAGAATTACGCGAGAGGGTGGGAAATTCGAACAGCGGTGGCGGGAGGAGGGGAGGTTTGTGTTCAATGTTTTACCTCTCCGGATGATTATGAAGCGCTTCAATATCGAAACGAGTTTTATGACGTTTCCGCGTCGAGCTCGTTCCTTTCTTTTGTAGTCATTGTGGGCGCGTCACGTGGCCGCCTCGCCGTCGGTGTAATCGCGAATCGATTTGATCGACGCCCCTCCACCCCCTCCAGCCCGCGTTAATGAGTGACTCTGTGCCTCTACCTCGACTTCGGAAAGCATGGCCGCCCGCGATCACAGAGAGTTTTGGTTCACGTGGCCGTCGAACGCTCGTCACGTGTCGTGAGATCACCACGCCGCAACGTAACCCCGAATTTCATGACGTTTGCACCGTGTTTTCGTCGATTCACGTGCACGCGTGTGCGCGTACGTGTACGTGGTCGCACGCTTCGATTTTTCAATTAATTCGTCCAGTTATCGGGAGGAGGGGAGGGTAGGACAAGCGTGCATTGAAATTCGCGTATCGT